AACACACATCAAGGAAAATATAAAATCTGCATGCTAGCATGAACATCCCTAAAGGATAACCAAATGATTTGGCCATGAAACTTCCAAGTTAGAGGTCTTAAATTCAAATGAGTGGTATGGTGAGAAGAGATTTTGAATTATTCACTTAGCTGTTCAAAAAGAGAAAAAAAGAAGAAACAACCATACCCACAGTGCATACACATTGACTTTCTTATATCATACAAATCATCATGCTGCTTCAAGGTAGGGTATCCACCAAAATCTGAACCTCCTAATTCTGTCTCCTTATTTAATGATTCCTTATAAATATATCAAGAAAACTCCTTGAACTCATTTTTTTTTATGCCAATAATATAAAAATATAGCTAATGGCGCAAATTAAGAAGTGTTTATCTATGCATTGAAGTATGCATCTATTTAGTATGTTTCTCTAAAAGCATTAGAGAGAAAGCATTAGAAAGAGAGAAAGAAACCTCAAACTACCGTGCCAACAATATCACCTTGGTCATCATCCAACATTCCAACAGGCAATTCTAGAACAACCTACCCAATTGGGACTTTAGCCTTAGACAAAAATGAAATCTAATCAGATATGGGTGAGTATCAGTAGAAAATAGGTCAATAATTCAACCCTCTGCTCATTTGTAATATGTTAGATCATATGCCAAAGAATTCAAGAATGACATAATAGATAAGAGCAATAAAAAGTAACTTTATCTATTTAGTAAGAACAACATAAGTCTCACCCTTAGATTCCAAAAGAATTAGGACAACTAAAACTGATCTTTGAGTGAAAACAACACTTGTAACCTAAGCATGTGTTTCAATTGATTATGAGAGAGATAGTATGGGTTCATCAAATAAAAGAAAAAAAATAAAGAGATAGGACGGCAACAATAGAAATTATGGCTATAGAATGGAAGAGTAAGAGAAAACTCCAAGATAACTAATTTTCAAAAAATTGAATCAAAAGTAGCGAAAAAAAATGATTACAAAAGTAATTAACCTAATGCAATCTATAAAATACTTCTTTAAAAACAATATTAGTTGTCTGTTTTGAGACATTCCCTTGAACATCCAAGCTTAGGATTTTCAATCCATGCTTACTTTTTACTCTTGAAAGTGCAACATACAACTGACCACGGCTGCATACAGGCCTTGGAAGGAAAAGTTTTAAATTTCAAAAGATTCCTACATGATTAAGTTATAAACAAAAATTTTTAAAAATTTAAACTTAATTTAAGAATAAAAATTTAATAAATATACGCAAATAAACCTTTACAGTTGTTTGTAAAAAGCTATCAATGATCTTTTCATCAAAGAAAATCTTCCCAACATTGTAGACACTTCCTTCAAAACTGTTAATATTATTATGTTTGATACTCAACCTAAAAATCATTTTCTTGTTCTTTAGAGCATCGAGCTCAACAGGATAAGTTTCAAGATCACCACTCTTATATAATTAAAATTAATTACATTATCAAAAATATCATATAAAATATTAAATCACACAAAAATAAATATTGAAGGTGACAGAAAATTACTCTTTTGAAGTGTAGGTCACGTAAATTAGAAGCAGAAATATTAAAAAATCCCTTCGCAGTAGAATCCAAAAGAATGAAAGATACAGCACCAATTCCATCAACTACATGAACTCGAATGCAATACCTTCATAACAAAAAAACAATGAAACTAGTATCAAATAATTAAAACCATAACTTAATCAAAATTTAATATTTTTTCTATGTTTTTGAAAAAAAAATTCTATAAATTTCAAATCACAAACCTCAATCTAGGATTTGACCATCCCTTGTCACATTTTCAACAAGACCATATTCCAAAGTCCTGCTCAACACTATTTGTACAATTATAGCAAGATTTGTAGAATCAGTTATGTGTAGATTCAATCAACTCAACCCCATTGGAATGTTTCAAAGAAAATCATGTCCACTTTCCATTTGGCTAAATAATTTCAGTGGAAACAAACAATGAAATACATTATTTAAATTTGTAGCATAAAAAAGTACCTATTGCACCCAAAGGATGCCCAATTGCCATTGCACCTCTATTGACATTGATTTTTTCTGAATCGAAATCCAACTTCTTGTGGCAATACACAAACTGAGATGCAAATGCCAATAGGGAACAATGAAGTTTGAGAACTCAAATGTCAAAACTCATTTAAAACAAACTGATTAATCAAGCACAATGATGTAATATATATCATCTTATTTATCTCAAAAACATCAATATCATCAAGTTCAAGCCCTGCAGCTTTAACTGCAACTGGAATTGCAATAGCTAGGCTAACACCCATGATGGCAGGATCACAACAACTGCAGAAAAAGTCCTGGAAGATCAAGTAGTAAAATATATCTCAATTTATCAATAGTTGACTAACTAGATGATTGACTTTATAATCTATTTAGCTCACCCAATATTTTGCTTGCCTAAAGTTTACCCAATATATTTATAATCTAGGAAGTGCATGTCTAGAATGGATGGCAGTAATTTAAGGATGACTAAATTCAAGAAAATGAGTTACAAACCTTGATATGTGCCTGTTATGTTCGATGTACAAAGAGGACATAAGTCCTTCCCATCTTTTTTGACAAATAGCCGCTGCAAGATGCATTAATAGAAAGAGAAAAGACATAACGTTAGATTCAAATATATTCATGACTCAAAAATCAAACATTGTTTAGAAAACACTGAATCTACTTGCTATGAAACTGTCACGTCCCAGAACCCAAATCCGAGAACGTAGCAGACGCCATGCACTCGTGAGAGGATCCCACAAATGCACAAGGCTCGGAACTTATTCAATTCACATCTGACAATCCAATATCTGAAGATAAAATCTTTAAAATTTACTTTGATATCATAAAATCTCTAAATACACTCTAGTTTACAAGATCATGATTTATATCTAAAATCTATATCAATCTCGAAATGGCTAGCCTTCTAACTCGTCACTTCTTGTGGTTTCCTCGTCCTCGATTTCGCTTTCTGAAATGGTGGACAAGGAAAACTATGAGATAAACTCAGTAAGTAAATATGGAGTGCCTTTTATTAAACTTATAGCATGCCAACAAGTGCAATCACGAAAAACAGATAAGGGTACGGAAACGAAATAGACGTCTCCTCTATAAGTCATGGCCAGCGTATAACACCCACTGGCAGGCGTCAGAATTTACCAATGTGTTCGCCCATTGGCAAGCGTCAGAATTTATCGGTCATATCAGTAAACATGTCGACATGTGCTAGCGTTTAACCCCCACTAGCAAGGTCACTAATAACATGACCACATCAGAGACAAAACAGGCTGAAGTTAACAGAAAAATCACAATTCACAATCACTTTCAAATCATCAGGACAGTCAAATAAACTCCAAGAAGGCATGCTCAAATCAATAAAAAGAATAATAATCTTATTTCAAATCAATCATGCTCATTTTTGTATAAAACGGGTTTAGTCCCGCCACCACTTCAAAAACAAGATAAAATGTGCTTTAAAATCGAAAGGCGTTACCATAATTTACTTACCTCACTCGCATAAAACCGAAAACTCGATCTCAGTGCTAAACTGACAGAACGATCAGGAACCTAATCAAAATATCCAAAATTAATACTGTACCACAGATTCAAAAGTAAAATCACCATGATTACCCCCTAATCACGATGCTATTTCTATCAGTCTCCACATTTGTTCTTATATCACAACTAAACATTTAATCCCCGTTAATTGTTGACCTTCGGTGTGTGAACAGTAATTTGTGAACAGTACCATGAACAGTAACTGCACTTCCAAAAATTGGCCAAAACACTAGCTAATTCACGGGATTTTCTCTCCAAAAATCACAACAATCTAAATCAAGCTAATTTACACTTAAACCAAGCTTAAAACATGTTCAAACGCTACCGGAATTCATCCATTTTTCTGCAAAATTTCGGACATCACAGGGCAATAATTACATGGATAATTCAGCAACCAATTGATGAGATTTCAAGCTTGGAGGGGCTGTCAACATACCAGAAATTCCAGCTGCAGAAACCGGACTTGGCAGGGGGAGAGGCCGGCGGCAGTGCAGTCCAATTTTCCCTCTTTAAGTCCCTCAAGTTTGGAAATTTTGGCTATTAAGTCCCAGAATAATATGTTTCCCCAATTTGGTCCTTAACTTAATGCTAAAATATCACAAAATTTTGAGGTATTACAGAAACAGCAAAAGAAAATGTGAAAAAATATATTTTAATGCCACAATGACAATAGACCTAAACGTGTACTTTTCTTTTGGTATTAATAGAACTCAAATCCTTTTTGTTTTTCCTACCACTACTACCACTTAAGGGAGGGATAAAATAAAAAAAAAAAACCATAACCTCATGTCTAAGCCCTCTCTCTGATTTGTTGCAATCCCAAAACGGGCTTTAAAAGCACAAGAGACAACCATAACCCAAGCAGGAGCCTAAACACAAACAACCCCAATCTCCTCCTTTTTGAAATCCATAACAAACCCAAATCTTTCTTAGTTAACATACTAAAGACCCAAAATCCTATTTCACAAGGAAAGGAAAAGAAACCCCACTCTAGTTCTACAACAAAGCAAGTATCTTTACAAGCCAAAATTGAAAATTGATGTGGAAAAAAAAAAAAAAAAACCTTCATCCTCAACTCATTAGAAATAGTTGCTTCAAGCAAAGTCAAACATGTGATGAATGATGAACTACCAAACAACCCAATATAAGATACCAGAAAGGGAGAGGTCAACAAACTAATCTATGGAATTAGATTTATTAAAGATTCATTAATTTATCTATTAATTATATTTTTTTATAATAATTTGTATAAAAAAATAATATACCTAAATTTGAAGGACACGCTAAGAGCCATTTTCATTTTTCCAATACAAAATGAAAAGAAGTATGAAATGCAGATCTAAAATGCCAAACCCAAGAAAAATTGTAGGATGATTTCTCTCGAAATATTAAGCTATAAATATATCAATTAAATTGAGACACCTAACACCATACCCACAACAATGTCTCCAATTTTACTTGGGTTCATATTGGTCTTTTCTATAAATGCCTACAACCAGATATCACCATCAACACAAAGAAAGAACAGAAAAAGGGAAAAACAACAAAGCAATGATCAAGAAAAAAAAAAAAAAAGGTTACGATGGTTTGTTAGATTCGGCATGCAAGTGGTCCGACGGCCATGGGCTTTGGTGAAAAAGGGGTTTGGCAGTAATGAAGGAGAGAAGATGATGAAGGTTGACACTTCATGATTCACTAAGAGCCATTTTTGATTTTCTAATACAAAATGCAAAAAAGTATGAAATGCAGATCTAAAATGCCAAATCTAAGAAAAATTGTAGGATGATTTTTCTCGAAATGTTAAGCTATAAATATATTAGTTAAGTTGAGATATCTAACACTGTACACACAACAATGTCTTGATTTCACTTGGGTTCAGATTGGTCTTTTCTATCAATGCCTGCAACTAGAAATCACCATCAACACAAAGAAAGAGCAAAAAAAAAAAAAAAAAAAAAAAAAAAAAAAAAAAA